TTTGGTTTGGAAATACCCGACTTTAAAATATTGGATCGATCTGCCACTTGCGTGTGTGTGTTGGCGAAAGCCACATGCATAGCGTTAGACATTGGCAAGAAAAATTTATAAAAAAAAGTTGTAGAAAAGAAAACCATAAGCTCGCGCTTTGATAAACTAATCCAGTCATCCTCTACACCATAGGAGCTACAATCAACTAGGATTGGAGTTGCTACTACAAGTGGGCGTGTTTGTTTCGAGTTAAAATCTGATTCTCGATTGACCTATATACTACAAGGTGTTTGCGAATGATGGACAAACTCACACAATGGATGAACGAAGCGCAGCTCATTTTCTTAGGTGGGCGAACCGATGCTTGGCGACTGTGGCTACATAAACGCAGCTCAATTCTTGGGAGAGCGGAAACAAACAAAACCAGTAATATCAAGCCTTTCAGTATCATGCCCTCAGTTCTCTAGCGTTTTTGCTCTCCACAACCACACAATATGCCCTTAGTTATTCACTTATTCTAAGAGCAAGAGCTAGTTACCAACCTTTTATAGTTCGATGGCTAGAAGGCTTTGTGTAATCTTAGCTATTTTCTTTTTAAGTTTTTATGTTTCTTGAGCCTTGTTTGTAAGACAATTTTTTGTTATTTTAATAAAATTCCAGTATGGGTCTTGAGCCCTCCTGTTCCATAAAAAAACCACACAATATGAAGATCAAGCTTGCTCTTTCATTTCCAAACAATATCCTATTTTCTAACAAATCCTTTGTATAACAGTTAAAAATTGTGAAAGTCTATATATACGCCAATTAGGATTACTATTTTCTAACAATTTTATTTTTCAATCTTCAACTTGCATGTCGGTCCGACTTTTAAGGTCGAACTACGAAATCAGGTAGGACGCCTTCCAAATGTCAAAATTGGACTGGTTTCAAAGATGGAATTATATTTTTTTTAAATAACAAAAATCGGTATAATTCATAACTAATTTATTTAAAATTATAAAAAATATGAAACTAGTACCGGTTTTTTTCCTAAAAATGCTATCTATATATTAGTCTTCTATTTGGAGTTATTTGGATAATAAACAAATAAGATAGAAATAACTCCAAATGAAGTACCAACATAGATAACGTTTATAGAAAAATGGTATTGTATCATATTTTGCTGATTTCAAATAAAATAGTTACTTTTTTAAAGATTAATCTATATTTTATTATTTCTCAGAAGGAAAAAGTCCAAAATACTACTATTAAGTATGGCCTATGTGCAGATAACCCATAAACTATCGTTTGATTCAGTTTATTTCCTTCAATTAACGCTAGAAATACAAAATTGTATTAAACATAATGATATAAAATTCATAATGTTTTTTTAAATAAGTTATGGTATCCACTATCACCTCACAAATTTTGAAATTAAAATCCAACTTGTGCGTAGAGAAACGAAAAGGAAAAATCTTGTTATTAAGTGGTAAATTGGACCGACTAAAATAGTTAAGGGAGTAAACTAAATTGAATGTAGTTTTGAGGGTTATTTGGACATAAGAGATATTTGGACGTAGTAATTTGAACCTTTTTTTCTTTTTAGAAATAGAAAAGTGTTTTTTGAAACTAGTCAAATAACTAAATTTGTCCAGTTCCGACATTTGGATGATGTTCTGTAATACGATACCATTTCATAGTTTAGTGTTAAAAATCGAATATAAATTGGAGGTTGAAAAATGAACCTAACCACAGAAATAATAATATTCAAGTTCTTTTTCTTGTTCCGCCTTCAAACTTGATGAAGGCCACATGTTGATTTATTCCAAACCTACTGGCTAGTGAACAAACAAGCACTGTGCTTGAGTACTTTGCAGCGCGCAGCAATAGGTTCAGACTTGCGGTGCAGCATGGTCTCTTTATTTGCACGTCAAGTTTCAGCCATTCCTTGCTCACGAAAAAAGTTTGAGCCATTCCCTGGGAAGGTAGGTGGGACGACTGGGTAAATGCAAATGGGCATGCTACATATAACCGTAGGCTTGCTACCGTCAGAGACTCAGATACATGGTATCGGGTTACAGTCCAAACAAGAAATTCCAAGGCCGGTGAAAGATAAGGGTATATATAGGTACAGTCACCCAATCCTGCCATGACGCAAAAGCTTATAGAAATCAGATGGCATAAATAGTATCCAGGGCCAAAGGTTGGTGGGTCGAACGGACCAGGCCATCATGTCATCGAGAAAGCTCTCATGCTCCCTCCATTTCTAGGCTAGCCTAGGGCTGGACCAGTCAGGCACGCAAGTCTCAATGGATTCATAAGAGGAGGAGGCCATGGAGGTAGCCAAGTAGAAGGCAGGCACCGCAAACAACGGTATGCACTGCAAGGAGGAAACATAGCTTTCAGCCTTTGCTTTTACTTTCATTTCATATATGTTTCAGGAAGTTTGATCATCCCTCGTCCGTTTTTTTTAAAAGAAAGTTTGATCATCATTCTTGTTCAGAATCAAGTTTTTAGCTCTTAATGCATTTCGTATCTTATTGCTAGAAAGCTGGTGTACAAGATAGTCAAGAGCTCATGGAAGATGGCAGTGCTCCAAGACGGTCTACTCCCCCCACCACCCGCAGAAGCAGATCTGCTGAGTTCCACAATTTTTCAGAAAGGGTAGGCTGTTATCGATCATGCATATATATGGACGGATCATGACCAATTGTCGGCATTTGATCTCTTTTATTTGGAACATTTGTAGAGGAGAAGGGATAGGATCAACGAGAAGCTGAAAGCATTACAGGAGCTTCTTCCAAACTGCACCAAGGTAACATGTGTTGCGTCTTAATTTTAATTATTCCACCATACCTCTTCTGCTGTTTTATTTTCGTTTGATATCAGAATAGCTTGTTTCAGACCGACAAAGTTTCGATGCTAGATGAAGCGATCGACTACCTAAAATCCCTTCAGCTACAGCTTCAGGTACTGAATGACATCATATCATATGCACAAGTTGGATACACTTGACATATTTATTTTTCTTGTCTTCCTCTCCTGCATCGTTTCCTGTTTTTATTTATTCAGCCTCCAGATCTTACGGGTGCTATAGTAGTATATATAGTCTGAAGATGTAAGCTGCCAATGCAATTCATCCATGGATGTTCTGATCATCACAATGCCATATATGCACACAGATGCTGGTCATGGGGAAGGGCATGGCACCGGTGGTTCCTCCTGAGCTGCAGCAATACATGCACTACATCACGGCTGACCCTGCCCAGATGCCTCCGTTGCGCCCCTCCGGGCATCAGCCCCGGCAATTTCAGATAACTCAAGCCAAACCCCAGCGACAATCTAACGTCGAGTCAGATTTCTTGAGCCAGATGCAGAACTTGCACCCTTCTGAGCCACCTCAGAACTTCCTCAGGCCGCCGAAATTGCAACTCTATACGCCGGTAAGAGGTTCAAAGTTCAAACTGCATGGCTATCAAGGTTAATTTTAGCGTGTTCTTGTCTTCATTTTCCTTTTCTCTTGTTTCATGCATTTCAAAATTTAAGATTTTTTTCTTTGTGGAAAATATGAAATTTTAAGCTGCTAGATCAGGGATATATAGTTCAGAACTGTCAGCTTTTACCTGAACAGTGCTAGCTACTCATCATGCCTCATGAGAAGTTTACCTCTGATTCAGGAACAGAGGGGTGGCTTACCTAGCACGAGCCACAACACTGGCTGGATTTCTGGGAGGAGTTCCTCGTATAACTTCATGGAGTGATGTGCTCCTGATGACAAAATTTGACACCGTGCAGCCTTGAACTTTTTGAACTCAGGAGAGAGTGTTCAGTCTGGGACCTGCAGCATGGTTCGCCTGAGAGAAGCCCATGAATGTGTTGTAGTTAACTAGCTATTAAATAAAACGTTGTGACTGTGATGCTGCTCATTTTGCAATCTGAATCTCACCGTTCGATTCCCCTTCATGTTGTGTTCATGCAAAGGCTGATAGATGGCGTCTGTGTTTATCTATACAGCAGTGTGCTACTGTCTGCGTTTTCTGATTGTCAGAGGAACATGGCTAGTTCAAATCCAGTGCGTCACAAAGATATTATTGCAGTTTCAGCATGCAATCACAAAGTATTGCCATAGCCAAACTATCATTCTCTCTATGAGAGAGAGAGGAGAGAGTTTTTTTTCATGGACATTCTTCTCCCCACCAATGAGCTATTGCCGGCAATTTGAGAGACACATTTGCCTCTGGGACTGAGAATTCACATTATCATGTTTGATGTGATGGACACTTTTGTTTGCATTCAATCCAATGAGATGAATAAGGCCTTGTTTAAATTCAGAGCCTAAAATTTTAGAGGTGTCACATGGGGTGTCACGTGGGGGTGTCGCATGTGGTGTTTGGATACTAATAAAAAAACATAATCCGCGAGACGAATTTATTAAGCCTAATTAACCCATCATTAGCACATGTGTTATTGTAGCACTACATTGTCAAAATATGAACTAATTAGGCTTAAAAGATTCGTCTCGCAAATTAGTCGCAAATTATATAATTAGTTATTTTTTAGTCTATATTTAATACTTCATGCACGTGTCCAAATATTCGATGGGATAGGAAGTAAACTTTAGTAGGAACAACTAAACAAAGGCCTGATATATCATCCCACCACAACTTGGCCGAATCTTTCAGCTTCCATTCTTCTGCGTCTGCAGGTATGTTGCGGCACTGAAAATGAAGAGTCAAAAGCAGGACTTCTGCTACCACTTCAGGCCCATACCGTCAGGCAGCATGGGCTAGACTGATTTCAGCGAACCATTCATAGGGCACATAAAATTCACTATATTTATTGTAGCCTGGAATCTAGCTCTATGCTGACTCTGAACAGATTAACATTACACGTGCAAACATGAGCAGCCCAAATCTAACATTTTGGCGTCCCGTCCGTGTGGCACTCCAGCAGATCGGCAGGGTTCTCCCGTTGCTTGATCAGATGCTGCTGCACGGCACGAATTTCAGTTCGCGTTTTGCAGCAGGCATCTAGTCTCCTCCACAGACCTTGCTCATCTTCAGCAAGGTTGAAAGCACGCTGTCCATGTCAGGCCGGTCCGCCGGCTCGAACGCGGCGCACGACAGGGCCAGGCTCAGCACGTCCGCCGCCGTGGACAGGTCGCCCTCGGTGACCACCTTCATGTCGGGGTCCAGGACGTCGAGCACCCCGTCGAGGCCCCTCGAGATCGCGTTGTCCACGTACTGCTGCAGTGTCAGTGGCACGCCATCCTCCTCGATAGTCCCGGTCGGGCGTCGCTTGGTGAAGAGTTCCATCATCAGGACGCCAAAGCTGAACACGTCAGCCTTCGGCGACACCGTCCTCATGTACGCGAATTCTGCGTGATTGGATTGGACACGCAGAGAAAACGTTTTTAGCAGAAGTGCCAAGAAATTTGCAGAAATAGCCACCAGAAATTGCGCTAGAGCACCATGTAGATTACCTGGCGCCATGTACCCGACGGTGCCCCGGAACACCGACGACGTCGCCGACTGCGCGGGGGCGTCCGTCAGATGGACGCCCAGCATCCTCGCCGTGCCGAAGTCGCTGACGTGAGCCTCCCAGTCGCTGTCCAGGAGAACGTTGGACGGCTTGACGTCGCAGTGCACGACGGGGAAGTCGTACCCGGTGTGCAGGTACACCAGCCCATGCGCCACCGAGACGCACGCGCGCAGCCGCTCCGGGACCGTCCACCGCTGCGCGTCCCTGCCCGGGCCGTGTAGCGCGCCGTCGAGGTCTCCGTTGTCCATGAACTCCAGGACCAGAGCCTTGATCTTGCCAGGCTCGCACGCGTACCCGACCACGCGCGCCAGGTTCTTGTGCCTCAGGCGGCTCAGAGTCGCGAGCTCGGTGAGGAAGCACTTGTCGGACTTGGCCGGGAACTGCGCCAGGTTGAGCCGCTTCACGGCGACCACCTTGCCGTCGGGCTCGACGAGCACGCCCTTGTAGACCGTGCTCAGGTTGCTGCTACCGATGACGTTGCCTTCGTCGAACGAGGCGGTGGCGGCCTCCAGCTCGCTGTAAGTGAACTTCCTCAGCTCCGGCACGACGAAGTCCTCCAAGAAACTGGTTGCACGGGTAGAGCCTCCCTTCTTCTTCTTGTACCTCCGGTAGCCAAAAAAGAGAATCGTCACAAGCAGCAATAGCAACAGCACGGCCAGCACCAGCACCGCTAGGACCACGAGCCCTGTCCTCGAGAACCCCTGCTTTCCGGCGTGGTGGCAGGGAGCGAGAAGCTTCCAGCCGCAGAGGCCAGCATTGCCCTGCAGGCTCGACATGCTCAGGTTCGAGAACACACCGGAGTCCGGCACGGGACCCTCAAGTTGGTTCGAGGAGAGGTTCAGAGACCTCAGACTGGTCAGGTTCGCCAGCGCCGCCGGTATGGCCCCGGTGAACGCGTTCCGTGACGCGTCCAGCGTCTGTATGTTCTTCAGTGCACCGATGTTTGAAGGGATGTCCTCGTCTAGCTCGTTGCCGGAGATGTTCAGGCTTGTGAGGACGTCGAGCTGGGGGAAGAGGCCGGCAGGCAGGGCGCCGGTGAGGTTGTTGGCGGAGAGGTCGAGCGAGTAGAGGTTCTTGCACCCGGCCAGCGTCGCCGGGACACCACCGGATAGCCGGTTTTTGGACAGATCGATGGACTGGACCATCGTGAGGCCTCCGATCTCGGTCGGTATCGGACCCGTGAACATGTTGTTCGACAGGTTGAGGTACATCTGCAGGGTGCTCAAATTCGCGATCACCGCGCCGGGGATGGCGCCGGCGAGGCGGTTGTGGGAGAGGTCCAGCGTGAGGAGTTGGTCGAGGTTTCCCGCCGCCGCAGGGACCGTGCCGTTCAGCGCATTGTTCGACATGTCGAGGAAGGAGAGAGACCGCAGGTTGGACACGGCGTCGGGGATCGGGCCGACGAACCTGTTCGACGCGACGCTGAGGATAGTGAGCTGCCGCAGCCCGAAGATCTCGTCGGGCAGCGCGCCGTCTAGGCAGTTCTGCTGCAGCGTGAGCTTCTGCAGGGACGACATGTTGGAGACGCTCGCTGGGACGCGCTCGGCAAAGCGGTTTCCCCCGAGCTGCAGTGCGATGAGCTTCGTCAGGTTGCCGATCTCCTCTGGTATCTCCCCGGACAGAGCATTACCCTGCAACTGCAGCAAGCTGAGCTCGCTGAGCCTGCCGACGCGAGGGCTCAGGCTGCCGGTGAGGCTGTTCCCAGCCAGGTCTAACGTCCTGAGGTTGACGCAATCGAAAAGGTCCTCCGGTATGTCGCCGGACAGCTTGTTGTCCCCCAAGGACAAGAATTCGAGGTTCTGTAGTCGGCCAAGGCCGGCAGGCAAAGGCCCGGAGAACTCGTTGAACGCCATGCTCGCGTTATACAGGGAAGTGCAGTTGGCAATGCTCTCCGGAATTTGGCCAGAGAGCGAGTTGGTGTTAATAACTAGCACTTGAAGATTCTGGAGTGATCTAATGTTCGCCGGAAGAGGGCCCGAGAGGGAATTTTCACTGAAACTCAGGTATGTCAGGTTGACGAGATCCATCAGAGATGTCGGCACTGTTCCGGAGAGCTTATTGGCGTGGAGCATCAGTTTCCGAAGCGACCGTAGCTTGCCGAGCTCGGTCGGGATGGACCCAGTGAGCTGGTTCTTGGACAGCTGGAGCGAAAGCAGCGACGTGCATCGCCCGAGCGAGCGGGGAATCTCCGACGAGAGCTCGTTGCCGTACAGGAGCAGCACCTTGAGGTTGGTGAGTTCCCCGAGCTCGCTTGGAATCGCACCAGTGAGGCGGTTGCTGTACATGTTGAGCATGGTCAGGTTCTTGCACCGCCCAAGCTCCGGCGGGATGGAGCCGGAGAACTGGTTCTCAAACATTTGGACAATTTTGAGACTCGAGAAGTTGCCAATCTCCGGCGGGATCGGGCCGGAGAGCTGGTTGCTGCTGAGGTCCAACGTCTCCAGCTGCGTGAGCTTCGCGAAGGACGGCGGCAGCTCGCCGTCAAGATTGTTGAGGGAGAGTATCAACTCGTTGAGATTGACCAGATCACCAATGCAGTCAGGGACTGCGCCGGTGAGGTCGTTGTTGAAGACGCTGAACTGTATCATCGCCGAGCAGTTGCAGAGGCGGCTTGGGAGGCCACCGCGGAGCGTGTTGTTGCTGAGGTCCAGCACCTGTATGCTCCTGAGTTCGCCGAGCTCTGGAGGGATGGCGCCGGTGAAGTTGTTGACGCCGAGGCCGAGTCCCTTGAGCTCGTCGAGGCGGCCGAGCTGCGGCGGGATGCCACCGCCGAAGCGGTTCGACGTGAGGTCGAGGAGCTGGAGCGTCGAGATGTTGCCCAAGAACGGCGTGAGCGTGCCCCGGAGCCCAGTCTCCACGAGCTCTATGGAGGTGACGTGGCAGGCGCCGTCGCAGGCCACGCCGGTCCAATTGCAGTGCGGCGGGAAGCCGCCGCGGCCATTGCCTGCCCCCACCGTCCAGCTGGACAGCGTGCCGTTGGGATCGGCGGTGACGGCCTTCTTGAACGCCAGCAACGCCTCGAGATGCACGGACACGGACGCGTCGGGGACGGAGGCCGCCGCCGGCGCTGCCAAGACCAGCACCGCTATTGCTAGCACCGCAGCGACATTTGACACTGGAGTGTAAGAGCAAGTGTTCTTGAAGGATGCCATTCCACTTGCAATTTTACTATCTCCAAGGCACCATGTGATCGATTGTGGAGTCTGACGAGTGACAAGCTTATAAAGACGAGCGCGGGGCCGTGCCATCGCCATCGGCTGTGAAGTGAAGTCAATGCATTTCCCAGCGGCGTCAACGCCCGACGGAAGAGGGAGGTTTGATTTGGCATGTGGCAGGAATTATGCGAAGGTGAGGACGGGACGGGACCATGCGGTACGGACGACTGGATGAGGCGATGCAGACATGCCATGCAGCCGTCGACTCGTTGGACGCCGCGGTACTGTGATTGCTGTACAGGAATTCAGATACGGCTGCCGTGCCGACATGCGTGGTCATGGCCTCGACGGCTCGACGTGAATGGATACCGGAAAAACGCCGAAACTTCCTGCCAAACACAGAAACACTCCGGCGTGCCGCAGCGCGCTTTCTGGACAAGCCAGCCACGGAAAAGAGATGAGATGAGGCTTCACCGTTTCGCTGTGTCTGCAGAAGTTCAATTCTGTCAGTTCATCTTTGCGTTTGGGGGGTTTTGAGTTCAGACTTCGATTCAGGAAAATGTTAGGATATGATATCGGTATATCGCCAAGTTCTGAACATTTTCGGTATCAGTGAAACAACAGTCGGAGTTATTGGATGGATTTGCTTAGTTGCTTGCAGGAAACAGGATTCCTTGCCTCTGAAGGTCTCCTGCAAGTTAAAAACGATGGTCATACTTGCAAGAGAATTATTTCTGAATGGCGAATGCGGCGTGTTAGCTTTCTTGCTTTGTCGTAAAGCATGGATCACTCTGACCTCTTTTCCAATAAGAAACAATTTCATGGGTGTGCAACACGGAATCTTAAAATGTCTGGTCAGTATCAGTAGGAGCAAAATGCCTCTTCGCATCTATCTAGGTCGCAGGGAAGATTTCGCAAAGATACAAGGGCAAGGCCCGGCTGGATAGGCAGCATCACTTGTTGGACCATTCCTCAGAAAGCACGTACTCATGCTTGGCTAGCTAGAAACCAGGGCGATGGCCAAACTGGGCCCATGCATGGTCAGCACCAACTTGCCGATGGGAAGGAGTGCTAGTTGGCTTCCACTGAAAGCATCGTTTATCACCCAAACATCAGATTGCATCTAAAAAAAGAGGTAGGATATTTTAACAGTTGTTACAAGTCTTACAAGTAGTATATATTGTTTTGGTCGGTCTATGTCAAAAGGTCTCCTTGGTATTGAAAGCTCGGCCTCGTTTAGTTCGGCCACCGAATCAGCGCCACCGAATTTCCGACGGTACCGTAGCTACAGTACCGTTTTATTTTTATTTGGTAGTAATTATCCAATCGTTGACTAATTAGGCTCAAAACGTTCGTCTCGCAAAGTACAACCAAATTGTGCAATTAGTTTTTAATTTCGTCAACATTTAGTACTCCATGCATGTACCACAAGTTTGATGTGACAGGAAATCTTCTTTTTACATAGTGTCAAATTCTGGAATGAGGAGCAACTAAACATGGCCCTCATGTTATTCTCCGATTCTCTCCACTATCGATCTCACGAAAAGAAAAGAAAAAAAGGGCCTCCCGTGATCATAGCAGCAGCACCTGACAGACATCGCGAGCAGCTAGTAGTGGTGTGGAGGCAAGCACTGACCCCCACCAGTGGCACTGAAGACACGCGAGCTGAAAAACCAGCTCAAACACACAAAGCGGAAGCGTGCGGCTGGTGATGGTGCATGCACGGTAGGAGGAAACAGACAAGGCGGCAAGGACGGGCGCACGCAATGCGTGCGTGGATTTTCGTCTCCAGCGACGCCACGGCGCGGCGCGGCATGCGGGCGCGGGCGCAAGTTGCTGGACGCTGCAAGTTCGCCGCCGTGTAGCCTGTAGCCGTGGTGGTGGGCTAGCTGGACTGCTGGAGATGAGGTGTGTGTGAGAAGCGGAGAACGCGCACGGCAGCCGCGTTTTTCCATCCCGTCCCGTGACGCCGACGCCTCGTGCCGGGTTGGACGCGAGCGAGGGAACGGCCGAAAAAGAAGAGGGCGTCGGCGTCCGCGAGGCCTGCCTCTCTCACGGCCTCACCCGATCGGCCGTGGCATTATGATGAAATATCCGTGGGTCTGTCGTCCGTGGGAGGCGCACGGACAAACCAACCCAGTGGCGGCCGCGGCGACGTGCGTCAACCGTGGAACTGGCACGACCACGATCGCTGCCTCTCACTCAGAGCGAAGACCTGCCACCCAGAAGTTGTCGGCCCAAAACCTGATGATGATGATTGGATTCCTTCCGAACGTACGACGGACGGACGAATCCCATGCGCGACCTCGTGTCGGTTTCTGAAACGTGACGCGTCGTCGCTGAATCCCGGACGCAGGCTGCATTGCTCGCGTGCACGGCGCCGCAGAATTATCGCCACTTGGACCGGGAGTACCATGGTTGGCTCATGGGTCCGGTCCAGGCCGCCAGCAACGAACGACCCGGAACCAAAGCGACCAGGCGATCGAGCACTTCGACTCGTGGGCGGCAGACGTTATCCACTCGCTCTTCTTTTCCACGTTCACAAGGCTTTTTCGGCAGACGAGACGAGATCCTGTCAAAAAACAAAATGCATGCTGCCTAGTGCTGCAGTGGGCAGTGGCTGTGGCTACACCTTTTACTTCTCGCTTCCCGCGAGCCGCAGAGACCACCGGATCATCTCATCTCTTCTGTCAGGCCGTTGCCATCAGGAGGATTAGACGATTGTTGACTAGTACGTGCACCGGCTACTGAACTAGTGATCCATCAACCATATGGTGGGCGTCGACCCACGGCAAGGTCGTTCACCTCCATGCGACCATGCCCATGCTGTCACGCTACGGCATGCGCAGGTCGAAGTTGAACATCGATCGTGACGAAACAAGCCAGACAATGATCCTCCTCGCAGAAGAAAAAGAAACCACGAGATGCCGTCCATCCATGATATGCTGAGGAGCTGCGAGACATCAAAGTTGAACCGAAGACTCTCTCGTTCACACGGGCTGGCAGATGCCGTGCACAAAACCTGCGGCTTCCGGAAAACTCGGCCCGTGGTGCTGAGAGCCCGCGTCAATCATCGCCGACGTGCGCGAGTACCATGGGCTCATGGCAGCGGGCCGGTGGTTGCGGTACGAATACCTACCAACCCACAAGGCTAGCCCAAGAGAAAACCTAGAGAGAACGGCCGACCAGACCTTGGATGGACGGGCCCTGCTGACGAGCCTCGACACCACAAGATTTGGATGATGAGTGAGGCCCGTCGGTAGGCCCGTTCCTTCCGCCTGCCCCTGCCACGCGCTGCGCCTGAGCGTACACGATTGCAAGCTCTGCAATGTTCATCCCGTGCTTGCAGAAGGAAATTAGGAACCTGACACTAGGAGGCAGAGAGCATCAAGTCCCGAGACTCCGAGAGATCCCGATGTTTGTTGTGTTCAACTGAACATATAGTAGAGCACTCCATTTGAAACATTTCAAATCCAATTAGGAAGACAGAAGAAAGTTTTTTGCATTTTAGGCCGTGTTTAGTTCGCCGAACTTAGCGCCGCCTGATTTATTGTTCATTCCTGTAACGCACTGTAGTATTTCGTTTGTATTTGATAATAATTATTCAATCGTTGACTAATTAGGCTCAAAACGTTCGTCTCGCAAAGTACAACCAAACTGTGCAATTAATTTTTTATTTCGTCAACATTTAGTACTCTATGCATGTACTACAAATTTGATGTGACAGAAAATTTTCTTTTTACATGGTGCCAAAATTTGGATTTCGATGCAACTAAACGTGGCCTTAAAAACCTTTCGAGCTGCAGGCTGCAGCTCAGTGCGGGCAGGACGCACAGCCGGGAATCTGCACGGATCACGAGGCCTCTATTCGAGTACTGTACCAACCCATTCCTCTTCCTAGCAGGTAGCAGCAGCAGGGCAGCCGGGGCACTTCATCGGTTCACCCTATTCCGTCGTACTCTCTTCTTGACGAGTCGTGTCTCTTCTATAGTCCATCTACTGGAGTAAACATAACTCTACTTCAGTTGAAGTGATTGACATTGCATATTGATTAGTGCTTGGGTTTTCGAACAGAAGATGTGCTGTTCAAAGAGTAGGAGTACTAGCACGTAGCATGATGATTGATCTCAGGGGAGGATCAGAGTTACAGTTCGGAGTGGCAATTCAGATCTCACCAAAGTTTCTCTGGAATTTCTCTGTCCAGATCCTAAAAACTGGACTAATATTGGCGCTATATTACAACGATCGCAAGGAAGGAGAGAGAATTAATAAGGAGAAGACAAACAACAAGCAATTTGAGACAAGGAGAATCCGATGCATTATTGCCAGCGTGGCCGCTGCCTAATCCTGTGGATCTCTCAGCACCATGGCCAGCTTCTCCGGCCTGTTCCTGCGACCTGCGAGGTCCCTCCCCTTGTCGGCCTTCTTCTCCTTGGCCAGCGACGACGGCATGAACAGGTGGCCGAAGCCGAAGACATTGATCACCGGATCCACGCGCATATTGGCCGAGTAGGACCGCTCCATGCCCCTGGGCCGCGGCCGGTGCGACCCGTTGCCCGCCGCCCGGCGCCGGGCGTGCTCGAGCAGCGCTCCAGGCCGCGGAACACCACGCGGCCGGACGCGCTCACACGCGACTCTCGGCCGCCACCGGGGCGGGGACGACGGACAACAGGGCCGCAGCGGCCGCCACGCCCCTGCGCCCGTGCCAGCGAGGGTTCCTGCAGGAGTCGAGAGGAGGACGTCGAGGGCGAGGACAAGGACAAGGCTCGGGTCGAGGCGGTGCGCGCTTCGCCGCCGCTGGCTCCTGCCGCTTGGCGCGCATGGCGCGTCCGCTGGCAGGCGGCAGCCCGACCTTGTCGCGGTTGGTAGATCTTGTTCGGACATGAGGTGGAGGAGGTTCGCCACAGGCGCCGACCGCGTCCGCAGCGGGAACACGACGGTGACGGCCGGCGGCGCGCGCGTTCTTGCCCGAAGTCGACCGAGGACGCCGACGAGGACGACGAGGAGTCCCACGAGAAAGCGGCAGAAATCGCCTCTCCCGTCGCGTTTGAGATACCCATCCGCCAAGACTTGTGTCGGGCGTCGACGCCACCGCCCGG